TGACTAACGAATATGTTATTTGAGTGAAATTCCGAAAACACGACCTGTGCCTGAGACGGAGTAAGCAGTTTGAGTAATTCCAGCTACCCCCTTGCCATCTGTGTCAAACCTCATTTGCATTAAAATCCATGGTGGTTTTCGGTGTCAACTGTGTCATCAGTAAGTTATAGATCACTACCAGACGTTGGCATCCTTAGTGGCTAGGCTGAGACTGACCTCATTTGCATTGGTACTGTCTTTCAGTTCTGTGCAAACCTCAGAATAGAATGGACGTGCATTTAGGGGGCACTTGTAAGGGGAGAAATTTCCTATTGGTTGATAAATATAAGTTCCATAAAAAGTGTGTGCTAAAAAGTGGTGTTGTGAAGTGGGTGTGCGATAGATACCAAGACCGCAAAGGCCGCTGCTTTGCTCTCTGCTACACTGAAGGTAAGTTAGTAAACATTATTTTGGATTTTTACTTCCTTGTACCATTTTTTTTTACTTATTTGGCATTTATTATTTTATAATCATTTTCATACTTTTATAAACAGTCCGAGCTTTAATGTTCTTCGTAGTGTGGATACATTACACACTTTTAGTTTTAGTTCAAAGTTTAGAAGGCCTGTTTAATAACATATTGGAAAAAAACTAACCTTGAAAACATCTATTGTTTCTTAATGGAACAATATTGAATATACTTATTCATAATAACTCGTTAGAGATGATTTTTGTTGTCAACGTATCCATTCAATCAGGCCTAATTTAATCAGGCATTTTACATTCAGGGTTCTAAATGGTTCTATTTAGGTAGTTAATACAATCTTCATTCTTCTATGTCAAAAATTGGACGAGAATGTTGGAAATTATTGAAATCTTACTTTCATCCACACAATTAAGGCATTTATTTTACATTTTTAACATATATGACTTATAATAAAAGCAATAAATAATAAATAAATAATTAAATAGACCAGTCAAAATCTAAATAATAAAAAATTATATTTTTGTTATTGTATTTTGACTCCTAATTATATTTTTTTGATATTTTGGACGTGCCTTTTTGGTAACATAAATTAAACCTCAGGGTTTGGTCCTGCATGAGCTAAATATGTTGCTGTTAACAATATTGTAGTCCCTTTACCCACACTTTGCAATAGGACCTGAATTCAGAAGAAAATGTTGTAGTTCTTTAAAATTTACTATAAAAACCGCCCACCACCATTGAGTATAGAGGGAAACCCCAATTGTACCCTGTTATAACTCTGTAAATAATTTTTATACAGACTCCATGGAGTTGTATTTTATTTAGTATGTAATTAGTACTAAATAAAATGAGCTTATTACTCGAAAGTTAGAGGCAAAGTTTTTTAGTTTGGCGCCAACAGGAACAAAATTAGTACAACCATTTGGTATAACTATTTAACGTGAATTCACCATAATTCACCATAAGGTGAATTCACGTTAAATAGTTATACCAAATGGTTGTACTAATTTTGTTCCTTTTGGTGCCAAACTAAAAAACTTTGCGTCTAACTTTCGAGTAATAAGCTCATTTCAAAATTTAAAAATTCATGCTACAGCGCACATACAGCACAAAGAGGAACATATTTATATAAACATTAAGTAACATCTTTGTGCCACAATTTTTAAATCTTTAACATAGCTTACGAATGAATACTAAACATGTGCAGCAATATTTCCCGTAGTGTGTACATACAGGGGACAAAAAATCCCCAGGACGGTTAAAAAATACAGACAGAGCTAAAAACTTTAAACAAAGTTACTGTGTACAGTATAACAATAATTTGAACACACCATTCAGTGATACGCTAAATCCACAGGGCGCGGCTTGCTAGGAATCGAAGAATATCTTAAGAGTTCTTGGAAGTTAGCGGCCATTCATCTTGGATAATTTCAAACCACACCTTTAAGATTTAATTATCGCCCAAAAATAGTTTTTCAAACATCAAAGTGATTATAATTTAAATATCTTGTATATTATGAGAAAAAAATTGTCTTTGTTGTTTTGAATTGATTTCCAAGGGAGTTCATGGAAGCCATCAAACATCTTGGATTTGCCCGCCATAAGAGAAATGTTAATTTTCGTTATTTTTCAAACTAAACAGCCGCGGAAGAGTTATTTACTATCTCAAAATATTTATCAAATACTAAAGTGATTGTAGATTAAATATCTAGTATCCTACTGTGAGATTAAACATTTTCTTTGTATTTTTAAAATTGTTTTATGAGTTAGAACGTCTAGGCTCCAAGGACTCTAATTTGTAAGCTTAGGTTTATTAGAATTTTGTTCACAGTCTCTTTAAATTTTTACGACTTGTACAACTCTAATACGTGGTTACTCTAATATGTGATCCCAATTTAAATATACATTTACATTTAAACAGAAATAGTATATTGAAATTTTGGTTTCGTTGTTTTACAGGTTAAACTACCATTATCTAAGGCTCCTTCTTTAAATACTGTCTACATAAAAATACATATAGCTTATAGAAATTTAAACACAAATAGTATATTGAAATTTATTGTTGTGTTTTAGGGGAAACTACAGTTATCAAAGAAGGAACATTTGAACACAACCATAAACCAGATATAAAGAAATATACAAGACAAATTATTTCTAACATATGCAAAAGAAAAGCAACCGACAGTCCTTTTGAAAAACCAGAAAAACTGATCAAAAAGGAAATTGAATCTTCTGCAGTGCGTGAAAACCTCAGCAAGCATGATATGCTTGTCATTAGGAAGGCCATGTGGTTAGAAAGAAAGAAGAAATTGAAGAACTCTGAGAAGACTCTGACATTGCCGTAAGAAACATATTTATCAACTATATTTACCTCTTTTTACTATAGCCTATTTATCTCCTTCAATTCTACTGATCATGTCTGTAATATATTGCAACAAAGCATGAGAACTGAAGATAATTGTTGCTTTACTGATAATGTGTGTGAAGCAATTTTAACCCATGGAATCATTTCACGGAGATTAGCTGTTTACTTACAGGACATTCTGTACATATATAGATAGATTTATGGTAAGAATCAAAAGGTTAATTTAGGAAAAAAGTAAGCAAACAACTATAAACAAAAACAAATTGTCAAATATGGCGTATCTTTAATATTTTACCTTCCATGTCATCCTGATCAGTTTGTATGTACCAAAAACACCCTCTGACCGCGGTTCAATACAGACACAGGTGTGTGGGCTGGAGTGGGATGATCTGTGTAGCTTTGTTATTGACTAAGATCAGCTGTTTCATCAGGAACAGCTGGGTCCAGTTTTGAACCATAAAAAACTACTGACTTATTTTAAGATCGAACGAGCAGACTTTTGATTGCCAGTTGACAACAACTAACAACTAATTAAAGATTGTTCTAAGAACTAGTTAAAGATCATGTGTGCGTCGCTGGTCCATGTGAATGAACAATTTCGTACTATTGCAGTAGCAAATGTGTTAAAAATCAAAATCAAAATAAAATAAAATAATGCCTGGAGATAACATGGATGATTACATACATACCAAATTTCATAAAATTGGACCACAGATGTGGTCTGTTACTCTGAACACATTCATACAGACACACACACAGACAGGCAGACAGACATCTCTTCAAAAACCACTTTTTTGGGTTCGGAGGACCCAAAACGGATAAATCCAATCAAAACTCAAACTCAAAAATGTTGGCCAAAACAATACTTTCTCCATGTACTATATCTAGGGTAGAAAGTGTAAGTTGGGGCTCAACTTTAAATACCTAAGGTTTGTAAATTAATAAAATCGGAAGATACATACATTGAATTACATCTCGTAACTAGTTGATGTGTCAGGAGTATGTTAACAATCTATCTAGTTATAACTAATTTATTAAATAAATATTTTATTATAGAATTTGTTCGTTTTATAGTAGAGTGTCAAAAGCTGAAACCTCTCTTCCAGTCGTTTTTACATGCCGGGATCATTGGTGAAATTCAAAATACAAAACATATATTCCCCCGCTGTGGCCAACCACAACCTGCAGACTAAGCGAAAACCAAGTTTGATTGAAATATATCCATAACTAAGCAAACAGCAGCAGTTTATTTATTCTCCATAAAAATAAATGTGGAAACTTTGAATTTGCATTTTTAAAATTTTCTCCATAACCATTAGACATATAACAACGCTTCAATATACTAAATTTGTTTAACTAAAAAATGGTTTGGAAAGAAATTTTGAAATGGAAAACTCCAATTTTTACCCCATAAAACCCTCCATAAACTCCTCGCTCCCATATTCCGATAATGCTCGATTGCTAACTCATTCGAATAAACGTTGGTTTTACATTTTTTAACCAAATTTAATCAAAATTGTACCATTTTTGCTTGAGTTATCTCACTACGGATCTCAAAACAAAAAAGTTAATCGGTCCCGGGTCTAGGTCTGAGGATGAGACCTACGGTAATGGCTTATTCCCTATATGGGAAATTCGCTAAAAAGGTGGTCAGTGGGTGAAGGTTTTTTTTCAAGTGTGGAAATGCGAAAATTACTTGGTTCCCCAATTTCAAGTGCCTCTGGATACCAACTGCTCTGAATTATTGACTTAGCAGCCGGCTAGCCAAGGTGGGTGCTGAGAGTGAAGAGTAACGAATAGAAAGACCGCTTTAACGCCGGAGTATTTTTTCTTCGGTAAGGTTTGGGTTACTTTGGCTGGGACAAATATATCCCTTAAATTGTATTTTGAATATGGAAAATCTGGAATTATTCTTATATTTTTATCGTCACTTGTTTACCTTTCATCTATAATATAATGTTTTTAATAATCTATACATTTTGTTAACGCGACCCCTCTCTTCCACTAAGCCTTTAGACTGACAGTCCGCGATGTCATAAATTCAGAGCTGTTTGTCCCCAGAAGACCTTGTCATAGCACGGTGGAAATACTACATCGGCCATTCATAAGCGATTGTGAATCAATAAACATCATGGAGACTAGTGATTAGCCAGACGGGCAAGAGATATTAATTACTTAATAGGATTATATGTACAGTATATATGAAACAGCCATGCATACAGGGTGCATTAACCCTATAAGGAAGGAATTTGATCAAAGTATTCCTTCTCTTTAAAAACGTATTGAGTAACGAAGTGTGTTATTATTTGAGTGAAATTCCGAAAAAAAGGACCTGGGCCTGAGACTAAGAATGCAGTTTGAGTAATTCCAGCTACCCTCTTACCATCCCCCTTATTTAAAACCTTGCATCCGATCTACTGTCTTACAGTTTTGTTCAAAATTCAGAATAAAATGGACGTGTATTTAGAAGACAGTAGTAGGGGGAGAAATTTCCTAATGATCGATCAATTCAAGTTCCATAAAAAGTTAGTATTGAAGAGTGGCGTTGTGAAGTGGGTGTGTGATAGATACGGCAACCATAAAGGCCGCTGCAAGGCTATCTGCTACACTGAAGGTAAGTTAATAAAATTTATGATGGTAATTTATTCCTACTACTTTTTTATTTTTTTAAATCAAACATTAAGAAAAGATTTATCATTTTGTATCCCTTTTCTTATTTTTATAACAATTACAAGCTGTAATGTGTTTTTCTTGGTATGGTGTTTTACACTTTTAGTTATGGCTCAAAGTTTCAAAAAAAGCCTCTTTAAAATAACGTATGGGAAAAACTAAGAAACAATATTGGGTATAGGATCTTTTTTGACAATGTAGCTATTGAATCAGGCCTTAGACTACAGCATTTTAGATTCTGTGTTTTTTTTAGGGAGTAGGCCTAGCTATTAAAATCTGCTTATATTTTTAATCTTGGAGAAAATTGGACCAGAATGTAATAAATTTAACAGAATTTACAATATTTACGTTTTCCAATTATCGTGTTGATCTTTCCTTATAAGCTATTATCCTATCCTGTCAATGTATTTATTTATACAATTTTGTAATATAGTATTTATATATTCAATAATGAATGAATTTCTTCTACTCCTGCTGTCGATGTCACAACAAAACATTAAAACAGATATCACACATTTTGAAAAAAATTATGTCTGTTGTCTGGCAGCCGTTTGAAACTTACTTGAATTTGCAATATTTTAAATCTTTGAACGGCTCCTATTTTTGACTCAGCTGTTCAGTTAAGCTTTGGTTTTGGCATTATATAATAGTCAATGGTATTATATTCTACTATACTATAAAGACCATTACAGTACTTTGATGTGCATATATCAACCTACGCTTACATTTGAGATTTCCTAATGACTCCTAGCGAGCCACGCCCCCCCCTTCAGGAGGTAGCCTATCACTGAATAATATCTCTTAAATGATTTCTATGCTCTGTATCTTTGTTCCAGTTTGTTAACTCTATCTTTATTACTATTTAAATATTTAACCGTCCCAGGACTTTTTGGACACAGCTCCAACACACACCTTTTACATTTACACACAGCTTTTTGGGCACCTTTTTATACAGTATATTACAAGGGAAATCTATTCATATGGTTGTTAAGTACCATTTGTGTGCCACATTTTTTAATCTAACTTCAGCGTGAAGCTGGAGTGCACATTTTTAAATGAATATTTAACTCCTTAAAGATATAACAAAACATTTTACAGTTTGGCACCCAAAGGAACAAAATTAGAACCACGATCTGGATTTAACTACTTTTACTATTTTACATATATGTACTGCATCACAGGCCTTTTAAGTTATAGTCAGGTGATTGTAATGTTAACTTTTACAGTGTGTGGCAAACCTAAGTCAAGCGAAAGCTGTCAGAATTCGACAAAATTTGGTATGAAAATGTAGTTTTCATGAGTTCGTAAACAAGCAATATCAAGTCATAGGAACAAACGGTTATGATTTTTTTGTATTGTAACTAAGTATTAAACAGAAGATTATATTTATTGCCCCTCTATATACATAGGCTTTTTACATTTTTACAACTTTTATACAAAACACAAACAATTGAAACGGTACTTAACATATAATTGAATACTTTCTATAATATGAGATCCCAGTAAAAAATACATTTGTAAACACAATTAGTATTTTATTGAAACTTGGGTTTTGTTGTGTTTTAGGTGAAACTACCGTTATCAAAGAAGGGACGTTCGAACACAACCATGGGCCAGATATCAAGAAATATTCAAGACATATTATTGCTAACTCCTGCAAAAGAAAAGCAAGTAACAGTCCTTTTGAAAAACCAGAAAAACTTATTAAAAAGGAAATTGAAAGTTCTGCAGTGAGTGCTGAAAATATCAGCAAGCATGATCTGTCGATCATTAGGAAAGCCATGTGGTACGAAAGAAAGAAGAAATTGAAGTCATTGCCGAAGTCTTATAAAGACATACAGGAGCCTCTGATATTGCTGTAAGATACTAAACTGAGTGATATTTTTAGTATAATAATATTTATTTTTTATTTTAATCATTAATATATGTAGTTAGTTTTAGGCCTAATTTATTGCATTAATGTACATATAAAGAAAAATGCCCTAGAGATGAATTATTTGTTACAATTGGATCACATGAATAAACAATAAACGTAAACAAAATTACACCAAATTAGATTAAATTTAATTCCAATACGCTCTACTCTTTATGTACAAAAATAATAAATATCAACTTCAAAACCAAATTTCGATGTGTACCTTTTGTCATTTAACAATGTTTTACTGCAGATAGCTTTGTACTTTAATAACGAAACTTAAAGAATATTTGAAAAGATATCATTTAGAGTGAGTCATTACATGTTTGAAAAGTGTGATATTTATTGAGCACTTTAAATGTTTGGGAATATGTATAGACCCACTTTCACTTGTGTTTTGAATGTTACTTTTCACTACACTTCAAAAATAATTATTTTCTTAACTAAAACAAACATTAGATATTTCTCTAAATTACAATAAAGAACATTACAAAAGTCATAGCATTTTTAGGTTATCCCTTAAACTAAAAGTTGATATTTACTTTGGTTGTACAGCTTTGGTTGTTGAAAATTGAAACAGTTGACAAAACAATAACACATCTTAGTTTGTTTATGTCCGCAAAATCCACAAAAGTAAATTAACATTACTTTCGCATAGTAAACAATGTAATGATGAATGTAAACATGTAACAAAAACAGGTCATTTCACAGTAGTGTAGAGAAAAAGTAAATACTACCCCACATTATGAGGATAAGTACTGCCACTTTTTATGGTCTAATAATGGAAATGCATGGTAAGAAGCAATATGTTAATTTAGGGAAAAAGTAAACAAACAACTATAAACAAAAACAAATGGTTACAGCTGATGTATCTTTGATAATTTTATTGTGATCTACAATCCATAAGTTAATTCTTTTGCCCTTATTAAAGGTTTTTCAACTAGTATTTTCAGGGGGGGGGGGGTTGATAGGTGTGTGGCTAATAGTTTTCTCAAAAGTTCGCGACCCTTAATTAGCAATAATGTAGATGTCAAAGAATAGTATTTTTCTATCCAACTGAAACCCCTAATTTACACCCTCGCCCAACATTTTCAAAGGACGCTACAACTTTGAATTATATACGCCCCAATCATTGTAAGTGATACATGTACACTCTCTTTGGAGAGAATGCCCATCCCTCCCTCAACGGATTGCTGATCAATTTGCATGTTTCAAGCGACTTTATCTGCCTGCTAGACCTCCAGATCAGTTTTGATGTTGCAAAACTACCCTCTAACTGTGTATCAGTTCTTAAACTCGTGTAGAATGGAGTGTGATGATATTTATAGCTTTGTTACTAACCAAGATCAGTTGTTTCATTTGTCAGGAATATTTTTTAAATCCCAATGGTCGGGAGCAGCTGGGTCCAGTTTCGAACCATCAAAATACCTACTAACCTTTTTCTGGATCAACCTTTTGATTGTTAGGCGAGCACTATAACCAACTGTTTAGAGGCCATTCTCTAACCTGGAAAATTGTATGAACGACTGAACCTGAAATACAAAATTCCTATTATCTTTTTATCTGCTCTCTTCGATGTGTTTAAGCACTCTAATTGCATTGCATTATTATTAGTACCTACATTATTATAGGTAATATTAAAAATAAAAAGTTGAGGCTCAACGTTGAATTCCTAAGGTTTATTCAATGAAATTAGATGATACGAACATTTCATTACCGTACTTCTTGTAACTTGATACGTTGGGTGGATGTTAACAATTCATTTATTTTGCACTTATTTATTAAACAAATATTAGTTGAAACCTCTTTCTCAACCGTTTTTACACAAGATCTTTTGGTGGAATTCCTACAAAACTAAAAAAAAGTGGACAGTAGGATGAGGGTTTTAAGTTTGAAATGGAAACTTGGCATGGTACCCCAATGCCGGAGACCAGCTGCTGTGAATTATGGACTTGACAGCCGGTCAGCCTCAAGTGTGGAGAGTGAGGAAGGGAGAGGCCGCTTTATCATCGGAATATTTTATCTTCGGTAAGGTTTGGGTTAGTTATGCTGGGTGAAATATACGGTATCCGACAAGTTGTATTTGGATATGGAAAATCTGGAATTATTCTTATATTCTGATTTTTCACGTTACGTTTCATCTAGTATAATTATTTCATGCTCTCAAATCTGATCCAGAATATACACTGGTTTAGTACGGTTGTAGTCATTAAGTAATAATTCTTTCATATTAATCATTTAGCATTGTCACAAAACATTTGGATTTACATGAAAAGGTGGAAATAAACAGCTACCTCTCAGTTACCATAAACCCTCAGACGACGAACACTGATTAATACAATTAAACTGATCCAATTTTATGCAGTTTATCTAATGTAAATATCACCTAAGTGACAAAGTGTTCCGGTGTCAATGCAACCCCTCTCCTCCTCTCAGCCTTTGGGCTGACGGCCGGTGACATCATGAATTCAGAGCTGTTTGTCCCCGGAGGACCTCGTCATAGTACCGTGGAAATACTACAACAGCCACTCATACGTTTTTGTTTAATGACGCAGTGAACACCATGGAGACTATGTTTAGCCAGAGGGGCAAGACATTGAAAGTGTACGACGGTTACAAATTCAGACGGACCTCCATGACAAACCAAGGGGTTGCGTGGCGATGTGTGCAGAAAAATTGTGTGGCTAGGTTATATACCGATGAAAGTGAAAATGTTTTATTACAAGTATTTAATGATCATAATCATGAAAAAACTGACAAAATCGAGCGTGAAAAGTTTTGCAACACTGTAAAAATAAAAGCGACAACCGATCTAACGGAAAAGCCATCAGAGCTGATTCGGAAGGATTTGACTGCTACCGGCACTACTTCAGACTGTTTGACGGAAAAAGACATAATTTTAGCGCGGAGGGCGTTATATAGGGTGAGGAGGTGTACACGTGCTCGGTCGCCAGGCGCCGTTGCTGATATCAATGAGGGACTATCTCCAACATTTATAAGGTAAGAAATACGAAAATATTTTTGGACATTTACATTAGGTAAACTTGTTTTGTTAGAAAATAAGTGTTTAGTACAATGATAAACTATAGGAAAGACATAACCGTGAATATTGTTTGTTTAAATAGGCCTACTTTACTAATTTCATAGGAAAAAAATGTGTTTTTTCAACACTAACATATTTTAAAAATTATCTTGTAACATGTATGAGTGGTTTTAAACCGTGTTAAAATAATAAAAATCCTGCCGTATTAATTAGCAAACAGCGAATATTTCCTAACACCATAATAGAAGACGGTGTCTTGTATTATCTGGTATAATACCATAGATAAAACCTACTAACCGTAAAATAATAGAAACAAAATTTTGGCGACGCTAGCGATCAGTGTCACCGGAACTGATGTATAAACAAAAAACTAGCTTGAAAATTTACAATGGGATGAGAAGTCTACTTGTGTTGGTTAGTCTATGATAATGCAATACACCCCCGACATGTGATCAAGTTACATTTTCTAATTAATATTTTGTATCTTACAATGATAATATTGAAAACCTAAGGAATTTGACATTAAACCTCGACTTCCATCTAAATTAATGTAGTTGTGATGATGCAATTCAAACAAAACGTACCGTAACTAAGGCTTATTCAGCAGCTTAATGTTCAGGGTGTCCCTTAAGTAAGTACAAAACATTTTGGATACAGCTTTAATGAATCAAAATAAAACAAAAATCAAATATGGGAGATGAATCCAACCCTTTGGTTCAGCATTGGTTGTTCGCAACTACAGTCTGTATGATGGAACCTGTCTCCTGATTCTCCGTCTACACGGCGACTTGTCAATGGACCAAGGCTCAAGACAGTTCCATCTATAAAAAATATGAACTTGTATACTGTGCATGTTTGTATGTTGTATAGTAATGTAAGACAGTGGGTCAGGAAACAGGTTCCATCATACAGACTCTAAAGGAGAGTAGGCCCTACCTCACACTGAACTCGCCCCTTCTACAACCCCCTTTGAACAGGGGTAACTCATCAAAGATTTGGTTCTTCGTCCTCAATTGATACGTTTTTGCAGTGAGTGTTGCGATGGAGAGCGTTAATGGCCAAGTGTTTGAATATGAAGGAAGCCAAGGGGGGAATTTATATTCGGACGGTTCCGGATATTTTTACCGACTTAAAGAAAGAAGAAAAACCCGTTGGCGGTTAGTTTGTAATAAAAAAAGATGTAAAGGGAAAGCTAGTCTTCTGAATCCATATGAAGATTGCCGTGTTCTAACGCACAACGGGGTCCATTCGTGTGGTGCTCGGCCTTTGTCTACTCCTGTGACTGACCGCCAGAAAGAAATATTGGACCGCCGCAAAGCTGTTACAAGAACAAGATTAAGTCGGTAAGATGCATGCCATTAACATAGATAAAACGTAGAAGAAAGATGTAAGAAATGTAGATGTAGAAGATAGAACTGCAGTTCACAGTTTGAAATTTCAGTCAAGGCCCAAAGGATCCCGAGAAAGTGGTTTTCAAAGTAATGTCTCTGTGTGTATGGTTGTGTACACAGCTACAGACTACACCACACCTGTGGTCCTATATTGATGAAATTTGGTATGTGGATACTAATCCATGTTATATCCAAGCGTTTTGTTTTTTTTTTTTTTATAGATTTTGATTTTTAATGGTTATCTCCCTTAAATTAATGTAAAAATCAGATTTTCAATTGAACGTTTTGTATTTAGTTTTACTATGACATTATATTTTAACTCTTAACAAAATGGCATTAACCTAATTGCTGAAAATTTTACATCACAGACAAACTACTATTATTTATTTGTTTTATAAGCAAATTAACTAAACCAACTGATTGGTATAACACGCATAGTAAGATTAAACATTCTATTCTCCAATAATAGGCTACTAACAAAATGCGCCTGTCCAGTCGATAATAACATT